GTTACTCAGAAAAAAAAATATGTATAGAATAAAATGTATTATTGAAGTTGAACATGCTAAGAAGACTTAAACAGAAAAAGTATGCAGAGAAAATTTAGGAAAAAAAACAAAACCATATATATAGAAAAAAGTGTATATTAATTGGAAATAGAATGTGCAACGAAAATTCAAGAAAAAAAATTTAAAGAAAAGAATAGAGGTGCTAAATACTACCAATAAGGAAAAAAAATATCGAAAAGATTCAAAAAAGCAAGAATAAAAAAAGCGTCTAAGTCATTATTCAATTTATTTTACTCTCTTACTTTCGTCAAATTGCAGTTTAGATAGATCAATAGTAGATCAATATGTAGTTACGCACCTTATCTGACAATCTGAATCAGAGGTGCATCAACTATGATCTGAGGCAAGCGTTAGTCTAAGGCACAACATATATATAAATATTTCATTTATTATAAAATGCATCTATAGTGGTTTTGTATCTATTGTATATTTTTATTCATTTTCTAAGTTTTTATAAGTTTTGTTTATAAAATTTTTAGCATTTTATTTTTTATATTGGGTTAGTATTTAATATTAAAATTAAGGTTTAGAAAAGTTTGGAGAACGTGTAGCATTTTTATATAGAGTATTGTATATTAAATTAGCCAATTTTTAAGATAATATAATATATATATAGTAGGTAATAAAACACTATAGATGTATTTTAATATATAAAAGTGAAATATTTTTATTAATTGGTTCTCATAATCCAGCTAGGTCAAACTTTGGAAAGTGTTTTAATACTAGATAAGTTTAAATAAAATTTTATATTTAAAAGTTAAAAAAAAAGCTAGCTAGCCAGGTTTATTTAAAAGCTTTATATTATAAAAATTAATTAAATTTGTAGTTTTTATAATAAATTTTAAAATATTAATTTTTTATTTTTTTATATATTAAGTAATTTACTAAATATAAATAAAAATTGTATACTATATACTTTATATATTTTAATACTTAATTTAAATTTTAATGCTCTAGACTTATACTAGTTTCTAGTTTCTAGTTATAGCTAAATTTAAGATCAGGTACTTTTATTTGAAAATATAGTACTAAAATTAAATTTTTGAAATTTTATATTAAAATAAACTTTAGCTATTTCTAGCTTTAGTTGCAATTACAGATAAGATATTTGAGAAATCTAAAAATTAGATATTGTTATTATAATTTGAAGATTATTACTATATAGTAATAAATTTGCAAAAGAAAACTATATATAACTAAATAAAAGCTGCCAAAAATTTTAATAATTTTTTCAGATTAAAAAGAGGGCTAGCTTCCAACTATAATAACTTCTTTTAAATTTAGGATCCAAATTGAAAAGGTAGCTTTTATTCGAGTTAGTATTTATTCAATTATATATAGTATATAAAATCTGCAATATTTAGCTACTTTTTGATACATTAAAAGTAGAGCTATTAATGGGTTAGTTTGAAATAAATTAATTTAAAATTAGTTATGACCCAAATCAGCTTGAAGTACTAAGTTCTAATACATGTATTCTAATTTAGTCTTCAATTGGTTCAAATATATTTTACAACTTATTCTAGTCTGGTTTGGGTTTAAGTTGAAATACTCTGGAGTATAATACTTTAATTAACAACTCTAATTAAATATTTGTTAGTATTAAAGAATATCAAGTTTAATGAATTTTATTAATTTTTATCAAATAATACATAGACTTATTTCATACTTCAAGAAAAACATCATACTGTTCAAAATATCTTAACTCTAAATTGTCATATTTCAAATATTGATAGCTACAAAGTATGAGCAAAGGATTCTGAATTCTAATAAAGCACTTTAAATTACCGAGCTTTACAAAAAAAAAGAAACATAATATATAATGAAGTAAACTAAATGTGTTTTAAAACAATATTACTAACCAGGAACATAAGTAGTTCTATAATTATTAGCATGAAAGGATATTTTGAACATATTAAATAAAAAAAATAGATACTTCAAAATTAAGTATAAGTGTAATATTAAAAAATATATTTAGTATTATATAATGAGTATCAAATTGTTATAAAAAAGCTATGTTTATTAAAATCTTAAAAAAATATATTGCTCAAGCAAAATAATCTATATTAGTATGCATATAATCAATAATTATAATTGGAAATTCAAAATATATACTTAAAATTACTCTATGATTTATTTTGATTCAGAATTATTTACTGTTTATTACTATATAAATATCTGAATACTATATTTAGAGGATATATTATATAAATAAATTTATATAGTATACTCTGAATACTAATATCTAGATTTTAATCAAAATAGTTTTATTTTTATAAATACTATATATAGTGGCAAATAGTAGTTTTTTAATTATATGCCTATTACTTCTTTATAATTTTAAAGTTAGACTTGTTATTAAAATTAAATTGATATAATTAATAAGTTATTTTACTTTATTATTTAATAGCTTGGTAATAAGTTCTATTTGATTTTTATTTTTTTATTTTTATTTTTTTTCCTTCGGCAAATCCTGCCAAAACCCTATACCTCTCCAGTTATATACCCAACCCAAAGGCTAGTTACTACATATATTTTTCCTGCATGGGGTCCGGTCTGAATCTCTGGTACCACTTTGGGTATCCAGATTCAACCGCCTGCACCAATATCCGAAGATGTCGGATCACCTTTTTATTGTACTGGGATTTTACTAGCCAATCTGGTGGTGTCACGAGTTCTTGTAGTATCTTTATCAGACTTAGCCTCATATTACTTTCGTGATTTCGGTTATTTCAAATCAGGGTTCTAATACGCCTCGCTTTATAGCCACAACTTCTCAGAATAACTATTCCCCAAATACGTCTATTCATAGATATCCCGGGTTCTCTGTACTCCACGGTGTTTCACTTCCGTTTTCGAATTTTCATTAATTCGCCGTTGGGAGGAATTGAACTGGCAACCGTCCGATTTGCAACCTGGGAGCATAACTGCTATGCTATCGACTCACAGGTCATTCTATTTGATTTTTAAAAATAATAACTCAATAAAAAGTAAAACACTTATTTTTTAAATTCGACTTTAAGCTTGTGAGGCTCAATTCAATACTTCTGTAACAAATTATATTAATTTTTTAAAATAGTTTATATGATTTAGTTTATTTTTTTTGCTTATAAAAAAGCTCTTTTTAGTTTAAATATTTATATTGTAAAAACCACTTCCTTTAGCATTGCTAGTATTAGTCCTACAAGTAAGACTGTTGATATTATATATCTAATTTTTCATATGATGTGCAATATATAAAAAAATATTTTTACAATACCAGATTATTCTATTAATATATGTTAAGATTATAATCTAAACAATTTTTTATTAGTAAAAAATAGTATTAAATTATAATTATAATATATAATACTAGCAAAATGATCTGGTATTGTAAAAATATTTTTTTATATATTGCATACCATGTAAAAAATCAGTTGTATAATATCAATAGTTTTACTTGTAGAACTGACACTAGCGATATTAAAGGAAGTGGTTCTCACAATATAAAAATATTTAAACTAAAAAGAGCTTTTCTATAAGCAAAAGAAACAAACTAAGTTATATAGACAATTAATACTGTATAATTTGTTACAAAAGTATTAAATTAAGCCTCGCAAGATTAAAGTCAAATTTAAAAGATAAGTGGTTTACTTTTTATTAAGTTATTATTTTTAAAGATGATATAGAACTTATTACTAAACTATTAAGTAATAAGGTAAAATAACTTATTAATTATATCAACTTATACAAATCAAATGAAGGCAAATCGGAAACTGCACAACTGGTTAAAAACCAAAAACAAATTGGTTTCAATATGTTTCCAGTTTTTTATTTTTAAATCAGTTACATATTAGGCACCCAATACAACTATAAATATTACAATAAATTATATTAACAAAGTTTAATTATATTGAGTTATAATCATTAACTTTATAGATAATTCTATAGAGCTATCAGCATACTTATATATCACTGATACTATAAGCACAAACTGGTAAAATTTATAACAGTTATTAGCAAGCCTAATAAATAAATTGACTATAAATACAAACCAGTAAAATTTATTATAGTTATTTGCAATTTTATATGTTTCTAGAATTTTACTAAAATTTTACTGATAAATAGTTTGAATATAAGCAAAATCCAGTAAAATTTATAATAATTATTGGCAAATCTATATATTACTGAAATTTTACTAATAAATAAATTAACTATAAATACTATTTGGTAAAATTTATTATAGTTATTGGCAATTCTATATATTTCTGGAATTTTACTGAAATTTTACTGATAAATAATTTGACTTTTAATACAATCTAGTAAAATTTATTATAGTTACTAGCAAACCTATATCATCAAAATTTTATTAATAAATAAATTGACTATAAACAAAATCTGGTAAAATTTATATTAGTTATCAGCAAACCTATATTACTAGAATTTTACTAATAAATAAATTAACTATAAACAAAATCTGGTAAAATTTATAATAGTTATTGGCAATCCTATATGTCACTAGAATTTTACTGATAAATAAATTAACTATTTCTTCATTTGTATTTGAAGCAAATTTATTTCAAATTTTGAATTACTAATGAATTTTCCGCACTATCAAAAAATTAATATAAATAAATACCTCCTGATTTCTTGTATTACCAGGCAAAAAAACACTATATTGATATTTCTACAAAATATTTTGGCTGTACAAACTCAAAATAATGTTTAATAAACTTCCAAAGTTTGATGTTTAGCTATCAAAAAAATGTAAAATTTAATATAACCAAATTTTATTATTATCAAATAGTGTTTTTTTTATTTTTTCACTTTTTTTTTTTATAAAAATATCTAATGCTACTACTGATAATAGTACTGCTTGGAAGTTATTATATTTTGTTATCTTTGAGTGTAATTATCATAAGAAAGAAATAATAGATCAGAAACTTGTTGCAGCCATCAAAATGGCTAAGAAAGAATTATTTATTAGACAAGAACAAAAAGAGTATTTTGATACAAATTCAGATGATGAAAAAGCTAGTAAAAGCAGTAAAAAAGTTTACAAAAGAAGTGAAAAAAACAAGAGAGACAGAAAAGATAAAAGAGGTAGAGGAGGCAAGGGAGGCAGAAAAAATAAGAATAAAAAAAAGATAAAAAAAAGGATTAAAAAAATAAAAAACACAGAAGAGGTGAGCAAAAGAAAAAAAAAAAAGTAATCAGCATAGAAAATGAATATGCAAATAAAAGTGAAAATGATATACTTAATATTTTTAATTTATCAGATTTCAAGCCTATGCAAAATTTTCAAAAATATTATGCAAGTTATATAATATTACTATATGAAATGCAACAAGGTATTATCAATCTGCTTGCTCTATTTTAGCTGTGTTTTACTAATTAACAATTGCAAAAAATACAAATAAATATAAATAATTGAAAGGTCTTAAAAATAGTCATATCTGGAGTTTAATAACTTTGAAGGAACTAAAAATTTGGATCATGTTAGTTATTTATATAGAGGTTTATAAGATTTATACAATAGAGAACTTATAAAATTTTGATGGAAAAAAGCCAATTCATAGTATTAAGGAATTTATGTATTTATATAGATTCCAGTAAATAAAAATTTTTTTTCATATTTCAGATCCAACTATGTCTCAACTTTTTTGATATTTAAAAATAAAACCCCTAACATTATATCTTAAAGAAGCTATATGTTTCTCATACACAAATTTCTATAGATGAAATGATCGTGCAGTTTGCTGGTCAAAGTATGTATATATTTAAAATAAAAAATAAACTAATACCAGAGAATTATAAAATTTTTTACTCTGTAATACAGGTTATATATAATTATTTTTTTTTAGCTCATGAGTTAATAAAAATTTACAATTAGAATATATTAAAAATATTAATAAATTGGGGTGTATAGTTTAAAATTTAGCTAAGCAACTTTCAAAAAAAAAAATTTCATATTTATATAAATAACTATTTTTTAAATATTCTACTATTTAAACATTTGTGTAATAATAACTTAGATACATGTGGCACAGTTTATATTAATTTATCTAAATTTCCTAATGAATTAAAAATTGAAAAACCTTTATTCTTAGACTGAAATACCCTTTATAGTATAGTTACAGATAATGTTTTAGTTGTTTTGTAGATTGACAATAAGCTAGTAACTATGCTTATAATAATTTATAATATTGTTGATGACAAATGAAAAATTATTTGTAATTAACATTGCTTATATAAAACAAGCACTAATGCAAAAAAAAGTTTAAAAAGTTTTTGATAACTTGTCTAAAAAAGAATTAGCAATTTCATGATTAATTAATGATTACAATAACTATATAGATGAAGTAGATATAGCAGATTAGCTTTAAAATTATTACAGTCATCAATTAATATCTTTTCGTATATAGTTTTCTTTATTTTTTTAGTTAGTAGATTCTGCAATTATTAACTGAACTGCAATATTCTTTATAACAAAATTATAGATAAGAATATTGTATATAAAGATTTTAGAATTAAACTTATTTGAGATTTGATTTATGAAGTTCTTGATAATAAAATTAAAAAAAACTAGAAAATGATTTAGTTATAAAAGTTCTTTTAACTCACCACCAAAACAAAAATGAATTGCTCATGGTACAAAAAAATTTGAATTATCTCCAACTTGGTTGTTACCTGGAGAACATTTAGTTAAATGAAGGAAAAAAAAAGAATTATATATTTATTGTCAATTTTTGGTGAAAATGTTAATTAAGGCAAAAAAACTACAATCTTTTAAAGTAATTTTTGGTGTATTAAATATAATGTGCCTCTTTGTTGTTCTAAAGCAAAACTGAATTGGTTTAGAAATTTTCATAATAAAAATGAATAAATTTTAATTAATTGATTTCAACAAATAATTTATTTATTTTATATTACTATAATAAATAAAATAAATTAAATAATTAAAATTTTATTAATTTTTTTAAAAAACTTTTAAAAATATTATTAATAATACTATATAATGCATTAATCAAAACTAAGTAATTTTTGTATCATTCAATTCGTCTTAATAAAATGAATCAAAGATGTAAAAATGACTTGTTTCTGGTTACTAGATTGTAAAATATAGCAATTTAAGCAACTTTTTCTCTAATATTTTACAAAAAGTTTAAATTTTTTTAAATAGCAATACTCAAAATCTAGTGATCAAAACCAGGCAATTTTTATACTATTTGATTACCATATATTGCCAAAAATAAGCCATCTCCAAAAATAAGCTACTCCCTTTTTTCTTGGAGAAGAAATATAAAAAAATTTGTTATTCTGAAAATAAACTACTCCTGATAATTTTCTAAAATCTGGAAGTAGTTTCTATATATAAAAGTTAAAATTCTATTAAGTAAATTGATAAAAGTCACTTAATAGGAGTTGTTCAAGACGTAAAATACACATATCCTGAAAGTTTGAAGCAAATCGAGGATCTTTTTACTAAGATGTTTTTGCATTTTATATTCAAACGTAAAATGCAAAAATATCTTAGTAAAAACTTCTTCGATTTACTTCAAACTTTTAGGATATATGTATTTTTATGTTTTGAACAACTTCTATTAAGTGACTTTTATCGATTTACTTAATAGAATTTTGACTTTATATATAGAAACTACTTCTGGATTTTAAAAAAATAATAAAAATCAACCTTTTTAAAACTTTACCCGAAAATAAGCTACCCCTATGATTTTTGTGTTACTTTTTTGGCCAAAAAAGGTAGCTTATTTTCGGAAACCTATGGTAAATAGATATTTTTATAGTTGAAATGCAAATATAACAAATAGTATAGAACTTTAAATAAAGCAAACTATTTAAATTAAATATCAAAAATATATGTATGGTTTAATATACTCTTATTATATTTGAAATAAACTTCTAATAAAAAAATATATATCAATTTACAACTTTTTCTGATAATCACTTTAACCAAAATTTTTTAAAACAAAACTAATTTATTAAAAACATAAGAATATATTTAGAAGCATTATAAATTAGGAGAAAGCTATAAGTTAATAGCTATTATTTAGAGATAGTTCTTATATACTATTTACTAATAGCCTCAAAGTTTATTATTTACCACAAAAGCAATAGCACTTATTGTTTAGAAATAGTTTTTATACACTATTTGCTGACAAGTTTAGAGTTTATTATTCACCGAAAAGAAGATCCTGCATAGCTAGTTTTTTTAATAAAGAAAACTTATACTCTTTAGAAAAAGATGCAAATAACTTGACTCTTTCTCACTCCTTTACTAGTCTTTTAAAAATTTTTGACAAAAAGTGAGCAATCTAGCTTACCTTCTTTAAACAATTGGTATTGTTTATATTTCAAATTGGGAAACAATAGCAAATTACAACCACATGCTTAATTAAAATGTTGCTACCAAATATAGCTAGATCTTAAACTAGGAACTTCTAATAGCAGTAGCAGGTGACTTGAAATACAGATTTTTAGACAGCAGCAGCACCTGACTTGAGATATAAATTAGAACAGACACAGTGATAGTTCGGAATTAAATATGAAATCAGAAAAAAAAATTAAATGTTAAGCTAAAGCTTTACAATAAGGATACAAATTTTAGATTTAATATATAATTTTTACAAGCTTGGCACAGATTATAATAGTGTATTTTGTTCTTTCTGATATGTAAATTATAACTTTGACTTCTTTTTTTTTGTTTTTTCTATCTTTGTTTTTTTTCTTTCTTTATACTAGTGCATATTCTATATTTGATTTTTTATATTCATTCTCTTTATACTCTTTCGTTATTTTGTTTTTTTTACTTTCTTTCATAGTAGAAAGATTAGAAGCTAGTCTTTCTACCAAGATTTAAATAAGAAAAATTTAAAGAAAAGAGGTAGTCATAACAGGCTAGTAGTTTCAAGTTAGTGATTTGTAAACTCAAAATCTGCGATTTGATCTAGATGAAGCAAGAATACTGCCTTTACCTTGGCAGATTATATATAGGTCCAATTGAAAACCAGATGAGTTATACTTTAATAATATCAGCAGCATTTGCTGTATATAAAATAACATTGTAGTAATCATATAGAACCGAAATAAAGTTGTAACATGACCACTGTGTTATTTTAAAAAAAAATAAATAAATAATAAAAATAAAAAGATATAACTAAAAAGATTACTTTAATATTAAAAAAAAAATTTAAAGCAAAAGCTTTAAACTTTTATTACTATAAAATAACTAGATACAAAATCTCTTTAAATAGTAAATCTACTATATATTATACCCAAGTTTATATAATATAAAATAATAGTTTAATAACTCAAAATATACAAATAAAAAAAAAAAACTATAAAACAAACTTTCTAATTATTAAACTTATACTTACAAGTTTAATTATAGGTTTTTAAAATTAGTAAAATATAACAAATCTAGATTCCGTATCTGGCCATTTATAATACTTTAAGGATTTCTAATAAAATTTTATAAAAAAGTTTATAAAATATTATATATAAGAATAAGTTAATAGAAATTAAACAAATTTTTTATAATAAAAATTTTTTTATAACTTTAAACAAAAAAAATTTAACAAAACTTTAACCAAATTAGTAAAACTTTTTAAATAATTTTTACAAACTTGTAAAATTAATTTTAAAAAAAATTTGTTAAGTTATTCTTGTTTAAAGTTTTTAAAAAACTTATTAAAAAATATTTGCTTGGTTTCTATTAACCCTATATATAAAATATATTATGATAATAATAATTTTTAATTTTATTTAAAAAATTATAAACACTTTCAAAATTCCAAACAAATTTGCCTAGAATATAGATTAAATGTTAATATCTAATACTGTATATCAAAATTAATTTATTTTGTTAAATTTAAAAAAATATATTTTTTGCAATTTAAAATTGTTTTTTTAAACTGCACCATATATAGTAAATTTTTAATTTTTTTTTTAACAGTTAATATAAGCAATTTTATTTTTAAAAATATACTTTGAACTGTAAAATTAAACATTGTTGACCCGTAAACAAAGAGAATTAAAGTTCATAATATCTTTATTGATAATAAATTTTTATCGAATTGCAACCTTTAAATTTTAGAATAATAAAAAAAAAAGTTAACAGAATATAAATATTATTAATCAAATTTATAAAAATTTATTATAAATTACCAAATCATCAATCTTCAACAACATTTTTACTGTCTCAGCAGCTAATTCGATAGCACTCGTTGAAACAAGTAGAGGCTGTATAACATTCTCTTCGAGAATATTTGTGATAGTTCCCTAATTAATTTTAATGTAAATTTTATTAATTTATCAAATACACCAATATTAACGCTAACATATATGATTATTATCAAATATAAATACCTTTCGAACGTTAATTCCAGCGGTTTTCTCACCTAATGCATGTCGATTTCGTAGTTCAGTAACAATATTAATCGGATTTAATCCGGCGTTTTCAGCAAGTGTTATAGGAATGATTTCAAGAGCATTTGCAAAAGCATCGAAGCATTGCGCCTCCATTCCCTTCAACGATTTAGCACACTCGGCTAAACGTTGTGATACTTCAATTTCTGGTGCACCACCGCCGGCTATCAGAGCTCTGACAGAAATAATGCAATATAATTGTTAACAACATTGTACATAATACATTAAAAACTTTAATGAATGCCGTACTTCTTCTTTACAAGACAACGAACAACGCAAAGAGCGTCATGCAACGAACGTTCAGCTTCTTCCAGAACAAGGGAATTGGCACCACGACATAAAATAGACACAGTTTTTCCAATGTGTTTAACACCTGTGATTTTTACGACTCGTGCGCCAGAAGTTTGAACTTCATCAATAAGTTCAGCAGAGCCAAGCCTATCTTCACTAAAAGACTCGATATCTGCAATTGGTTTACAACCGGTACTCTGAAAAGTTAATATGAAATTAGCATTGAGACATAGGAATTTTCTGTGCAAAGGTAATGATAATAACCTTGCAAATGAATTCTATTTCATCTCTTTCTATATCTTTAACTACTAATATTTTCAATTTCGACAAGAAGTGAAGTGATAAATCATTAACCGCATCTCGAAGAATTGATTTTTGAATTAATAATACATTGCATCCTGTTTTCTTAATTTTTTTGCACATATTAAGAAGATATTGTCGTTCTTCCTTCAAAATTTTATCCATAAGTCTATAATCATTAACAATAATCTGGTTTTCCATCTATTAATTTTTTTAAAAAATAAAATAGCTAATTAAATTATTATATTAATTATAATGGATAAAAGATAAAAGCTTACATCCGGCTTTGGTGGAGACAATTGAAATTGAATAAGACCAATTTTCGCTTTCTCAATACGAGATGGACCACCAGAACTTTTGATTACATTTTGAGTCAAAACAAGACCATCAACAAGTTCAGTATCATCGATAGTACCACCAACTTTTTTTACGATACGGATATCTTTAAGATCTACATTCGTTGCAGTTGCCGGATCAATTACACGTAACACAGCATCCACAGCGATTGGAGCTAGAAGGCTGGAATATTGAGAGACAATCTTTGAATTCAATGAGGTACTAGCAGCTCTTAACAAAGAATCTCTATCCGATAGAATAATTTCAGTGGACATTTCCGAAAGGAATTCAGTAGACTTTATTGCAGCGCGTTGAAATGCTTCAGCAATTGTCGTAGGATGTACACCTATGTAGAAGAAAAATAATTATAAATAATAGGATTATTTCATTTAAAATATAGAAAATTGATAGGAGTTATTTACCTTTTGCAAGCATTTTTTCGGCAGCACCCAAAAGTGCGCTAGCAATCACAACAACAGATGTGGTTCCATCACCAGCCTCAACGTCTTGTGCGGCGGACAGATCAACAAGCTATAAATCAATTAACTTTATTAATATGGAAAATTCAATAATTATTATTCTATACACGCATTAAATGAAGGATCACCATTTTAGCGGCAGGATGTAAAACGGACATATGTTTCAAAATGGTGGCACCATCGTTCGTAATTACAACTTCACCACTGCCAGTTTGGATCTAGAGAAGATTATATTGTGAAAGGTGATTTTAGTAAATAATTAAAAATATTCCTTTTTTTGTATTAAATAATTTAATGCAAATTTTACATAATTATTGAATTGCATTAAAAAAAACCCCAATAAATAGAATCGTTTAATTAAAGTTGATAGCGACTTACCATTTTATCCATGCCCTTAGGACCAAGAGAAGTCCGAATTGCATCGCCAACCGCTGGATAGCAAATAAATATATGTAGTTAATATAATGAATGATCAGTTATTCTAATAGTTATTTTCCAATTTTTGTAGAATAATAGGTTTTAAGAAACGTCGGATAAATTCAATACATTCAATATTCTCAAAATTCAAGATTTCAAGTATAGATCTTATATTAAGAGTCATTAAAAAATATAGCCTTTTTTTTTTTTCGCCCAATTTATGAAATAAATATTTTACACTTTCCAAAGCAAATTCTCTCCAAGTGCCCAAAATTAATCACATGAATCTATCAAGGTGCACTTAGAGAGAGGTTAGCTTTAATAAATTCACGCGTTAATAATGAATCAGTGGAGGTATATATCAAGTAACCTAAATTACTATTAAATTTATAACGATCTACTTCTAAGAGTCTTTAGATCAATGTCATTGAAATTTCAAAAACACGCGTTTATCGCAGTACCTTTAGCAGCTATGATGTTGCTGAGTCGAACTTCAACAGGTTTATCCTTATCTTTGAATGAACGATAATTTGAAGATTTTGCCTCTGACATGTTTCCGTTATCACCGAGTAATTACCTAACCGCAGGGATTTATGTATGATTAGATCAACCAATCAATATTTTACTCTTTGTATCACTCAGATGAATTGATAAGTCATGAATGACAAACTTTATATTATACAAAATGGATAAAGACGATACGAAATCTTCAGAAACGCAAAAATTTGACTACATGAAACCAGACAAAATACAACAACCGCAACCAAGTGATATGGTGGAAATCATGAAGGTCCGCTAATCCAATACTTATTTAAATTCTAAAAGGTAATACTAAAAAAATCGGACACATCGACCTATTATTATTTTTTTGGGTTTTTTTTTGTCAACCCACTTCATTTGTAGAATCTAAGCATAGATGATTTCAAAAATGTTGGTAAAATGGCATGTTTCCGTGGTAGTCTCTTAAATGGAATCGGTGGTGGAGCCACTATCGGTGCACTTCGATATATACAGAAAGGTTAGCGCGAGTTGAATATTATTTGAGTGAGTACACAGCAAAAAGGAAATTATTGCGTAATTAAAAAAAGGGAGATATATCGATAAAAATCCAAATGATTACTGTATATACATTGAAACATTTGATACATATATAAAAAGAAACGTCACTAATGCTGTCCTTTTTTGCTGTGTACTCGCCCATTAAATATTGGAGAGAACTGTTAAATAAAGTATTTTGTATGTAGTGCATAAAAACAAAGGAACTATTTTATACATATAGGTAATATTCTCTCTGCCTCAAATTGGGCTGTTGGATCATTTCTCTTAATCTCGATAGGATCATGGTTTGCTAAGGCGATAGTTTTTTTTTCTCTGTTTCAAATATATAAAGATACGTAGAGCTGATTGAATAATCTTTGATTTTAATAGGGAGTATTGCAGGAGAAAACGGCGACTGCAACATGAAAACATGTTGGTGGTTGTACAGAAACTAAACGAACTGAATAGGCAAAAAGCACAGGAAAAAGCAGCTGAAAATGCAAAGAAAATTGATTCTGTCACAGCATAATGAACTGGAAAGGTGATTATTAAAGATCTATGTGATAGTCGCCTGTTTAAGATTAAAATTCTTTTAATATAACGATAAGTTTCAACATCTATCGATATTAAAATGTTTTGTTAAATAAAAATCAAACGTTATCATTATCGCTATCTGTAATTGTTATACGTACGTACCCAAAGATTGTTATCACGTGATCAAAACTTTAACAACATCGGATTATTTGATGACTAAATATTAGTCACCAAAATTGTATATGCGTATTTATAGTACTCATTAATGCATACATATGTACAGTACGCAGTGTTGCCATTGGACATGAACAATCCCATGTCCATAATGAAATCTAATAAAAATAATAGATTATTAAATTCCTACAGTGCGAGACACCCTAAACTAGCAAAATAGACGATTTTTAAGTTGTATTACAAAAACAAACGAGATTTGTTTTTTCTGTAAAAATGCAAAGAATACAGAACTAGAACAAAACTTTAAAAATTTTTGGATTATAATTTTGAACAAAAAATTTGCTGATCATCAGTATATATCAGATATTAGCTAATCATTTTAGATAATATCAATATACTGTATGCTGACAGTATATACAGCAAGTATACACAGCATTATATCTTTGTTAAAATTTGGTTACTATTACTGGTTTAAGGTATTTCAACGCTGTATTTTAAATCAGTTTAAAACTTCAATTATTAGAAATAAGAATATGTTTTTAAGCTCGAAATCTAATTGGTCAAATTTGCAAAAAAATTTTTTTCTTTTACATAAATAGTAGCCATTAATAAAAAAAAATTTTTTGCCAAGTTTTATACGTAGCTTACATCTCGATTTATTTAAGGCTGTTTATTTTAATAATTTAAAAATAAAAAGAAAGAGAAATCTTTCTACTTTTAAATCATTAATAACTTGTGAAAATTAAAGAGATTAACTTTTTTTTTAGCCTGAATCTCAGAATTCTCTTGACGGCTACCCAAATGTAAAATACAAAGATGTATTAATAAAAGTTTGTCAAACTTACGTAAATCTTCTAGGATATCTTATTATCTCGAACACGTAAAATTGATTGATTAATTTAGTAGAAATTCGTCTTTTGTAGGTAACAATTAACCGATTATGTTCTAACATCTGTATATTCAATGAAAATAATGTTACAGAAAGAGCTGAACTATCTGACATTGTTCATACCCAATGATTTTACTTGGGCTTTGTCTATGATCACTGTGCGTGAACAGTATGTACGTACCTCGTACTGTATGTCTGTACTGTACGTACATAAGTACGTACATAAATACGTACATTACGCACGTACGTACATATAACCAATAGTTAATTACCTTAGGAAAATTTCTCGTGACCGTGGTCAATTCCGACCCATTTGTTGTACCAAAGAAGGTCTTTTGTTTAAAGTGTCTTGACACATCAAAAATAAGTTACAATAATGTGAATCAAGAAAAGCAATTTTTTTTTTTAAGTCCTGCATTGAAGGTATCCAATAAAAATGATAGAAGTTTACATCCAATTGAAGAAGCAGAACACTCCGGAGCAGACTGGAGTTGGTATTAAACCCGAGTTTCACTAACATCAAAAATTGAAGCTATTAACCCAATTTTGGTCGAATTTAAATTTGTCCAACCCAATATAAATTTTTGACATGTATTGAAAACAACTAGTTTTAACAAGAAAATGTTGTATAGGTATTGGATAGGTTGGATTTCTAATCTGATGGATTGAATTAATAAATATACATATCGATATACATATCAATTGTATATATCAGATAATTATATATATAATTTTTTTTTTCTTTTTTACTCACGCCTCTCCATGCCTGTCGATTCGATATAATGAAAATACTATAAAAAGACTAGCGGCAGTTTGTCGGCTTAACCTAGTTACCCCACCCAATCGTAACTTTTTGAAGATCTAAACCGCGATTTACAAACTTTTAACTTTGAATAGTCTTACTTGATCAACAAGAAACTAACACGTTCGTTTCGAAATAAATTCTTGCTTGTAGATCGAAAACTGATTCTAAATTTACGAGCCACGTTAACAATCCTCTTTATGCATAATTGGCGATCAAGGACTACTTGAAGGTAAATTACGTGCATTGTAATAGCGACAATAGCTGCACATAACAGGCAACAGGGATAGCAATGTTACACTTAAGTAATGCCAATCGATCTGAGCCAGAAACCATCGGACTTGACTCTGCGGCTATTGTTTACATCTAAGGCGCAAAAGATAAAAAAAAAAAAAAAAAATTGCTCATCGGTTATCTAATTCTAGGGTACATAAGTTGTATTCAGATTCTACTATACTATTACATTTCTTTCATACTAATCTAATGTGGCTTTATTATGCAAATGCAAGTGCAAAATGGTCAAATTATAAACTAAATTAAGTATGCATGACGTCATCAATTTGATCAAGGTAATGGTGGGTACAGAGAAACTGAGATTGTTCAACTTGCATAAAAAGTTCCCTTTTTTCTGTAAGAGACTTGTTTTTTTTCGTTGCGAAGTTGAGCGTGCTTTCAGGGGTGAAGTGGTAACGTTTAGACACTTCACGCTCTTGTTTCCGCTTTGCGCTGGTCTTGCGGCTTTCGTTTATTTTACTATTTTTATTATTTTTTCACTTTTTTTTTTTTTATCTTGTTAATTTTTTTTTTCCCTCTAATTTTTTGGGGAATCACGCTTTCAAATTTTGGACTTTACTTAAGTCAAAAAGACCCATCGTTTCACACAACCTAGATTTGAAAGGGTTTCGTAAGCAATCTTTACATACCAGCTTACTTCCCATCCTCTCTTATCCTCATCTATACATCTTTTAGAGTCTTATCAATTAGATACTTTACCTCTGTACAAGTAGTTTTTTGTAAGTATACCAACTTTGAAACATTTCTGGTGAATTGAATTCTCATTCTACTTCTTTTGAAATGTTAGATTTATACACTCAAAAAACAATGGGTGACGACATTGAATTATCTTTCGACGATACGTTCGAGGATCACTCTGTAGATTCTGACAATAATACTATTTCAAGATCAAACTCTTTTAAACTAAAAAAAGGTGGTACTGATAGTCAAAGGAAAAAAGATAAACGCCGATCAAAGGTGTGTCTCTTGTGACGATATCATATTCTTATCTTCCATTTATTTCATGATTTCCTTTTCATCGATGTTTGTCTGATTTTGACTCCATTCAATAATTATTTCCTATATTCAGCTTTGGTATGAAAAATCAAATCCTCAACCTCAAAGTGATAGTGAACAAAGTACCGGTACTCAAGAAACAATTCCAACTGCTATTGTTATAAAGAATATTCCATTTTCCATAAAGCGTGACGCGCTATTGGCTACTCTCGTATGTTATGCTCCGCATAAATCTTATTCAGGCTCTTTTAATCACTCCATTCATCATCAATTCTTTTGATTTTTAGAATGCCCTTGACATTCCAAGACCATATGCTTTTAATTACCATTTCGATAACGGCGTCTTTAGAGGATTGGCATTCGCTAATTATAGAACTCCTGAAGAAACCGATCTTGTGGTTTCCGCATTAAACGGTTATGAAGTTGCTGGTCGAAAACTCAGGGTTGAATATAAGCGTGTTTTACCCGCTGCTGAAAGAGAAGCCAAAGAAAGAGAAAAAATGGAAAAACAAAAGGTTGATAAAGACCTATCAAATCAAGATGTACGTGTACATGAAAAAATTGATAATGATCAACAAATCGATAAGCCAAAAACAGGTGAT